CGAGGTTCCCGTGGTCGAAGTGGGCGTGGGCGGTTCTCCAAGTCCCATTCTCAAAATGGGAATGAAAGCAGGTGGGGGTACACACTGGTGGTGGTGGAGGGGATCCCCATGACCTGTAAACGCGCTTTGAGTGGAGTGTCCAGAAAGGCGCTATATCAGTGTAAGCTATGATAATAATCATCATTATTATTATTATTATCAACGGCGGACGGGGGAGCGAACAGGAATGGAGTCGGGGGCGTCTGAAAAGCGGGGTGCAGCAGGTGGTTCTTGTGAGGGCGAACGGGGCGCAGGAATCGGTGTGTTACACGACATACCCCTCCTAAACGTTGTGTGTGTCGGTCGCCTTGCGTTTTTTTTTAACGGCGCTTAGGATCATGTGTACGATACAGCAACAGCAGAAGCAGAGTATGTCGCCCTCGAGAGAATTAGAAAGCAGCGATACCTGCCTGGTTTGCACCTGGTGGCGCAGCCCGGTCAGGACTGGGAGGGGAGACCTCCGGGGAAAGACAGGCTGCGGATGTCAGGGGTGATGGTGGACCAACAGGGGGCGCCCTTCTCTCTGGGCCCGAATTTCCAATGAGTGGTGACCCGGGACACCGGCCTCGGGATGAGAAGGTGAACTGAGACCCTGTCTGTTTGGGCTTTAAAGATTGCCTGTTTGTATGTTTGTGTGTCTATGTGTTTGTCTGGTTGTGTGCCTATGTGTTTGTGTGTTTGTGTATTTGTGTGTTTGTCTGTGTGTTTATGGATTTGTATGCCTATGTGTCTGTGCGTTTATCTGTTGGTGTGCCTGTGTGTTTGTGCGTTTGTCTGTTTGTGTGTTCGTCTGTGTGTTTATGTATTTGTGTGCCTATGTGTTTGTGCCTTTGTCTGTTTGTGTGTTTGTCTGTGTGTTTATGTATTTGTGTACCTATGTGTCTGTGCGTTTGTCAGTCTGTTGGTGTCCCTAGGTGTTTGTGTATTTGTGTGTTTGTCTGTGTGTTTCTGTATTTGTGTGCCTATGTGTCTGTGCGTTTGTCTGGTTGTGTGTTTCTACCCACACAGGGCCGGGGGTTCAGCCCCCCATCTGGGGGGCTTGAGACTAGATACCCCCCTCAGTTTTTTTTAAAAAAAAGCCCTTTAGTTTTGAATGGCAGGACAGCCCCAGGACAGAGGAGCTGTTTCACGGTTTCTGCAGCCTCCAGAAGTTCTCGAGCATCGTCTTCCAGTTTTCAGCCAAGGGACGGGTTAGCCGGGCATTAACAGTGAAAACTGAGTTCAGAAGCTGAAAGCCGGAGGTGCACCTTTACACAAAGAGCAGCGGGAGGCTGGAACGCGCCGGCCACCCAGGCCCTGTGAGAAACTGAGAAATGGCTGGGTAATATTCTGTGATCTGTGATCTATTCTGTGATCTGTTCACTAGAAGCGTGTCCCAGTGGCACACAAGAAGGTGCTACATTTTTAATGTCACAGCTGCGTGTGCCCATAATCACCTGTGCATATGGGGGGGTACAGCTCCCTCTGGTGTGTGCTGGTGTTATTGCACATGAGTATCCCCTTTTTAACTTGTGGTGCATTCCACTGCTCTGCACCATAATAATAATAATAATAATAATAATAATAATAATAATAGCTTACACTTCTATAGCACTTTCCTGGACCCTCCACACAAAGCTCTTTCCAGGTCATGGGGATCCCCTCCACCCCCAGCAGTGTGTACCCCCACCTGGGTGAGGCGCCAGTCCGCTCCCCACACCCCAGCTCTCAGTGGGGAGGAGAGCAGAGTGATGGAGCCAGTTCAGAGAGGGGGGTTATTAGGAGGCCATGATGGGTG